TTTCGGGTGGTTGTCTAAAATAATATACCCATAGGGTTTTTCGGTTTCTTTCATATAAGCAGACATAAATTTAGGTCTGTCTTTAGCAAAAATCCGCTCTGCGATAATATCCATTTGCTTCCGATCACTTGGGCTGCGAAATAAAACCATGTATTGAGCGTTTCGTGAAATGCTTGTGTTAAATTTTCCCTTGGGAAACATATTTTGCAACAACAATATCACACTTAAATTACGATGACGGCCACGAGTAAACAGTTGAGATATAATTGGACTTTGCACGGCTTCATCCATCAAGTCATCCAACACCCATAGGTTATGAACCTTATCATTGATGTCTTCTAAATTGTCGTTTACGTTCGGTAACCCTTGGGTAAACGTAATACTTTTTCCAAGTCTCGACTGTATGCGTTCATACAGGGGTTGCCACTGGGTGTAAAACCATTGAATACGTTTGGTTTTCCTACTAGGGTATATGAAAAGTTTGCTTGAAAGCAATTGCTCCACAAAATAGGATTTCCCACTTTGAGTAGGTCCAACTACCATCATTGATGCAGGGTGTTGAAACTTAAACTCGGGGTAAGGTTCGGTTTCCATACACGTTGAAGCATTAAGAAATGGCGAGAAGGTTTGTGTAAATGTGGCGTTCTTCAAGTACATTTGTCGTTCATCACAAGATAAATGATGAACTTGACGTAAGTGTTCACTTAGCTTTAGTAAATCCTGTTTTCCACAGATAGGACACACACGTCTGTGACTGTAAGGCATCTTGACCCAATAAAGTCTTAACACAAATGAATGTGATGACTAACATGGTCTATTTATAGATTTTAGAACCATGAAAAACTGTGAGGGACGTTAGGGGCCTTAGGGGCCTTGGTGATGTGAGGGGCCTTGGTGGTCTGAGGGGCCTTGTAGGGGCCTTGTAGGGGCCTTGGGGCCTTAAGATTTTTTTCTTAGGGACCTTGCGGCCTTCGGACACGTTGTTAGTTGCACACTTAAGAAATTTCTAGTTGCAAATTTTTTCCACACACTTAAACGTTTTATTTTGCAAACTTTGACTGCGTCGTACTCATTGAAAAGACAACTGTAAGAGCAGACCTCCATTTAAGTTTTGTTTCATACTAAGCTGATCCGCTAACCCGTCCATGATTTCATCCATTTTGTTATAAGACCACTGATCTACTCGGAAATCGCACGTATAGACGACCTCCCAATGTTCTCTGGAAGAGACTTTGATTTTCATCTGAGATGTTTTAGAAGGTTTGGCTAATTCAATAATGTCATTCAATCCATGGTATATAGGATATACAATTTCAAAGTCGATATTTCTCGCACCTTCTTTGGACGGAGGCTTTTGGGTTATGTCCACGACATACAAATTAGCTCCGAATATTTGGGTATAACTGACTTTAAACAATGGATCCTCCCATGCTAACTCCATCCAATGTAGATTCTCTTCGTTCTCAGGGTGCGTGTCTCTCTCTGTTTGCTCGTGTGTAGTCCACATGTCCTCTAAATCTTCATCCCACTGCTCCTCTATCGGAGACCATTCCTCATGCAGTCCTATCCTCATGATAACTTGGGTTAAATGAATGCTATGTTAACACAGGCTATTCTTTTATGTTTTTCAGGTCTCACCTCAGACTATAAATTGACTTCGTTCTCACGTTAGAGTATCATTTTTATCTTACTTCTTGTATGGGAAACATGTCTGCACTCGAAGAAACTCCCGCTGTGTCTGAACCTATCCAAGAAAATAATCCTCCCACCGTGTGTGAACCCACTGAGAAAAATATGGACACTACCGTAAAAAGCAAGAAATCTACCCTAAAAAGTTATCGTCAAAAATTGCAAACCATCCAGGCCCGCATCAAGTATCGTGAAAAAGCCATCAAAGGGTTTAGAAACCATCTCAAGAAGGGCACATTTCCTAAACGATTCAAATCATTAGACCCTACCCAAAAATGGACTCACCAGAATCACAAGCTGTGGTCAATGCGGCCTGTGAACAAGTACATTGTGTCATTTTAGATCAAATGATTTTGGATGAGGAGAAGAAACTTGAGCAAGATCAAACCAGTTATCAAACCATGAAAAAGGAACGAGAAGGCGAACGCTCATAGTTACCCAGAAAACCCAAGAAATTGTCTGTGGCACAACTCATGCAGGAACTCACTGAGTTGCAGTCCAAATATGCCCAACTCTATCATCAATTAAACAGTACTCAGTAAAAATAACAACACATGATTCAACTGTAAACTTTGTGTGATTTTTATTGACTTCCTAAAACTAACTAATGACAATAATCGTGAAGTGTAATATGTACGACAAAATTCGTTGAGTATGTATCCCATGCGGAAATGAGCTTGGTTGCTATCACGTCCATTAAGGCAAGATTCATGTTATAATAACGAGATCCTTTTTCCATAAACAGTGGATGTAAATCAATGTTTACGATCTCATAAATGAATTCGCCCGTTGCTTTGGTTATAGTCACATCTATCAAATTTGTCTGCGTCAGTTTCCATGATGATGAAGTCTTCATCAATTGGTTTCCCAATGCCGTTCTTGAAAAATAATCTTTGTTTGGTGTTTCTTCAGGACTAAAGTGTGTAAAGAACTGATAAAATTCTTTCTCGTCTGTTGAAGGTTTCTCAGGTCCAATTGGTGAAAAATCAACCTTGAATTCTGGTAAGGTTTTCTCTTTGTGTTGAAGTCTTGCTTTATAGTGGGACCAAAAATGTTGGAATTGTAACATATCTCGAACCTGTCGTTCTAAACTAGGTGTATGCTCCATCATTTTACACTGTTTGAACGAATAGTAATAACATCTTTCACTCACTGATATATACAACCCAAGGTCCCAAGGGTAATGACATTAACGGGCATGTCTGGGCGTCAACTCTATCAACAATTAAACAGTACCCAGTAAAAATAAAAACGCATGATTCAACTGTAAACTTTGTGTGATTTTATTGACCTCCTAAAAACTAGTTACACGTATAGTGAAAAAAGTTACAATGCAGTAAACGTTAACTGTCCTCTCACATATTTAGCTTTCAATCGTAGGTCATAGGTTTGTCCTTGAATCAGAGTCTCTGGTCTGGGGTACTTCACCAAGACTTGCCATTTCCCTTCCAAGGTTTTGGTGACTTGTGGGTTTAAATGTTTCACTACTTCTGAACCTCTAACGAGTACTGTGTTTGATGTCACTGTAAACCTTTGTCGTTTTTTCCTTGATATGTTCCTTGTATGCCTTCCTTTAATATATACTCAAAATAAGCAATCACTTTACCCACTGGAGGATCAATGTTTTCAATACATGTTGAACCTACAAAGGTCCGGTTTCCGTTGATCTTGTTCTCCATAAAGAAGTAGGTTTGTATCTCTGTTTGACCACAGGGGCAAATCTTGTGTTCGTCTGCTTCAATGGGTCGTGACTCCACAAACATCCATTCTCCTTGGAAATCTTCTTCTTCGCTTAAATGTTGCAAATGGAGAAACAAATTGGTTTCTTGCTCCCTGCAAATACGTCCATGGACTTTTCGCATGTGTCTTTGCCTGTTGTGTTGTCTTGTATATGATGCGTTGCAAAAGAAACATCTGAAGCAGGGTTTTACCTCAGCACATACAGTTTCCAAATGAAGTTTCATGTTTTGTTTACTTCTGAATACTTGATTACATTTTGGGCAGGTAAACCATAATGGATTCTCGGAATGTTGCTGTTGTACATGCCGTTGCACAGTATATTTCCTTGTAAACAAAAGAGGGCAGTATGGGCAATGATAGCGATTCTCTGTTGTACCACATTGCTTCTTATGATAAAAGAAATTGTTTTTGCTCAATTCTTTTCCACAGGTAGGACATAGTCTTGGATACGTGACTTTCGGCATGTTGCAAATCTGTAATGATTTTCATCAAATGTCACCTCCTAGTTATACTCAACAAAATTCCCTAGAGTGATGACGTCAATGGGCAAGTCTGAGCGTGATGGTCCCTTGGGATCTTACATGTTTAGGCAGGCTCGTGAATCACTGTGATGACTAACTTCATGTTATTAGCCGGTGCTTGAAGTTTAGCCAATAACCAGTTAAAACTCAGAGCATCGAACATCGCTAACATAGTGCGTGATAAGGACACAGTCCATGGAAAGAAGGCAAAGACTGGAATATTGGTCAGCACGCCTAAACATTTTGTAAGCGGAAGAGCAATCGGTTCCACCGTGTGTAGGGTGAAATAACATCTTGTTTTCATGGACAATCTTCGACTTGTCACCCAATGTTGTACTGCACGTAATAAACCATCACTCAATGACATCAACAGACTTTCATTCCATGCTGGTACTCTGTGTTGGTGTACTGTAATCTCCATTTGAAATTCTTCTTGCATAGCGTCGTTATTTCTCACCACTCTGTCTGCGAATTCTGTTAACTCCACTGAAATCACTGGGTTGTACGGATTATACCAATGCTTACTTTTGAAACGTTTTTCTTGCCATTACGATAACTGTTCCAAATCTTGCATAGATACTGACTGCATTTTGACTTCCCCACACTTACATTCACACTTGTTTTATGATTGGAATAAACTGAGTCATCACAAAATAACTCTAACCCTAGTCCCAAGGGGCTAGGGCTTATTAGCATTTTAACCCCAACCTTATTAGCATTTTAACCCTAACTCTAACCCTAACCCTAGGCCCCAGGGGCTAGGCCTTGTCAGCATTTTAACCCCAACCTTATTAGCATTTTAACCCTAACTCTTTTTGGTTTAAGGTTTGGGAAATTTTCTCCTTGGTTTAGGGTTTTGAGACTTTTTACACACGAATAACCACACCTGTAGTTTGTAACAACACATACTTTACTGGTTGGCGCCACCATGCAAACCTTACCTCTCTTTTACAACAGTATAAACTAGAGCTCGCGCTACCAAGCTAGCTGTGCTCTGACAACAAAACTCTGTATAAACCATTATGAATAAAAACTGAACTTTTACAAAAATTACAACCTCACATAGCCATAGGGGTAAGTGACCCCTGTGGTTTTTTCAACGACACGCTTGTCCCAATTGACATCAAACACTTTCACTAAATCTGTTAAACTAACAGTCTTGTTTGTGTTATCTGTGACAAAATGATTCTTTATTTCTATTTCCATCAACCGTCTTTGCTCCAATGGATCTTTTAACTCCTTCTCGATATGGTTCATCATTGAACTGCAATTTAATACCTGGTTGATTTCGTACGAACGCTTGGTTCCCTTGTTCTTGCATTCGGTTTTACCCTTCGCTGTCTGATAACAGTACGATTTAGGTCCCGCAGACCCAAACACTGTAATAGCATCGCCTGCAAATTCATCTGTCATTTGACCAAGGAACACACCCGTAGGGATTTTGACTTCTCCTTCTTTGTAACTGTAAATCACAGAATCGGTGTCATAGTATAACACTTGGTTTTCAAGCATTTCCAATTCTGCATATAGCTTTAGACGCGCCAAGGCTGTCGTGTAACATGCAATAAAAATATTGATTTTACCACTGCTTGCACAGGCATTTTCGTATTTGAGTGTGCTTAATTCCATGACGTCTTCATTAAAAATACGTACATCTTTGACCATAAACGATTCGTCCTGCACAATTTTTGGCCAAGTATCTTCGTCCTGAATCGATTGTGTCTGTGTGCGATGCTCGTTCTCCCCAAATTTCCCCCAAAAGCTGTTCAACATAAGCTTCGTCACTTGTTTACGACCTGGATTCTTCTCAATCTTTTCAGGATCCAGCTTAATCCCCTCGTGTTCTTCATATTGTTCCACGTACTCTGCTTTTTGGTCTTCAGTCAAACAGTGAGCAGGCCATCCACTGGCTTCGGTCTTGTGTTTTAGCCATGTATTCACATACGGTGCAAAAAGGCCCTCCTTTCTTTGACTCTCCGGAAAATGCCAGACTTCATGGATCTTGGTAATTTGGTACCCCTTCTCCACTGCTTTTAGCAGTTCTGGGGTGGACCAAGTACCTGTTATTGTTCTCTCTTCATCACTGTGTGGGCAGAGATTGGAGCGTTCATACCAAGGGCGTTCTGCTTGATCCTCTGCGCATTTTACACATAGAGGAAACAGCAATTTTTCATTGAGCTTCACCGGTAACACAGGATGCAGCAATTTTTCTGGTGGTAAGACATCCACTTTAGCGATTCCAAAGTAGTGAAAGATGTTCTGATCCGATGGATTCACGATAATCTGTGGATGTCCAATGGGGTAGGTTGCGTACTTGTTGATGGTAGGATATAAAGATGTGAAATCTTCATATAAAATTTTCTCGTTGTCTTCTGCCTGATAATGGCATTTTGCCATGCCAGTTCTTCCACCATAAAAACCATCTCTTGGGTTCAAAGGAGAAACCCAGGTCATTTTATCAATTTGCTCTTGCAAGTTTGGACATTGTTTTAGTTTTTTGTTAAAATCGCATTCCCATTGTTCAATCACTGTGTATCCAGCCTGTTTGATCAGCTCTTTTTTTCGTTGGGTGACTTGATAAATTTCTTCTATCGTTCTATCCGGATGATGGAATGGTTTCATATGTCTCCTATACGGATTACACTTTTTGCATCCATGGTACTCACATCCTTGGAATTCGAAGACTGTTTTAGTCAATGGATCATAACCATCCACGGTGACTCTGCCACCCTTGATCTGGACAACTTGCTCTCCGCCATTTCGTGTGTGTTTGATTCTGTTGCCACCCAATTTTAGATCTTCCAGGTACAACCATTGGAGTGCTACTTTACTTTGGTTCACTTTGAGACCGCCCCATCCATTCACAGGTTCAACGGCAATGGTTTTTGGCTGCATCTGATAGTTTCGCCAGAAATAATGACAGGTCGAGGCGATCGTAATGCATTGTGTCAAGGGATTAAATCCTGCCTCGTTCTTTGTGTCTTGAGCAAATTTCAGGCACCCTTCTCGCAGTAACTGTACGTCGCTTTTGCAATAGTCCAACATTTCTGTTTGAAAATTCCAAGTCTTTCCTTCTGTCACTTGCTCAGCATGCCACTTTTCGCATTCTTCTTTCTTCTCTTTAGACATGTGCTGTGGTTCAAAGTACTTGATGTCTGGAATCTTACCCTCGTAGTGTAAATCTTCAAGCATAGAAAATTTGTGTGGGAAAAATCCTTTCTTGAGCTCTGTTAAACCAAAAGTTTTTGGAAAGGCCGCAAGGGGCATATTCAGAAAGTTCAACGAATCTTTGAAAATCAGATTGTGATGCTTGAAGTGTAATATCTTGGCCCCTGTGCCCATTTGATCTGTCACCTTGAGATTCTGGTTGTGTAGTGTGTTGGTGGTGAGTACACCATCAAACCCTTTCAAATTATGAAAGAAAATAGTGTACTCAGGTAATTTTCCTTTTCCTCCGTTTTCTTGCTTTTCTTCTTCAGCCCATGCTTGGACTGTGTCGAGAAATAGACTCACACAATTCGTACCCCAGTGGTGATAGATGGTTTTACTCCGTCCTTTAGTATAGCAGATCAGAATCGGGATAAAAGTTCTACTGCTGTCAATCAGACACTCGATATCAGCAAAGATCAAATCATCAGCAACAATCTTCTTTGACAGTTTATCTTTCGGTAATCGCTCGTTGACCATTTCAAGAGTAATTTCTTCTAGTGGTACTCCTTCCTCCAAGAGATCATCAATGACTTCTTGCAAATCCCTTAATTTGATTTCTGCCATTGGAACACCCATATTGATATACTCCAAATCTTTTAATTTTTTCTTTCGTTGAGCAATCAACGTATCAATCTCGTCTTGTGTACTTTGATCAGGCAATCCTTCAACGACCGTTCCCAAAATCGCTTCTTTTGTCTTCTTCTTTTTTCGTAATTTTTGCAAGTTTCTCTTAAACTTTTGTTCGTCTTCACTGGTAATGTAACACTTGTGCTCGTAAATGGGCACAAACTCGAAGCAATGTTTACACTGTGCATGCAAGCATTTGTGAGGAAAGTCTTGGTTCACTTTGTATGTGACCATACACTGTGGGCAACGTTGAAAGTCTCTACAAGTACTTTTCAGTTCTAGGATGGGGGTCAAACGTTCGTGGAATTGTTGTTCTAATTGCTCTCTTGTTTTCTTTATGTCTTTGTTTTCTTCTACCGTTTCAATGAAATGTGCTCGAAAACACTGCTCCCCATAGAATTCACGTCTGCAGATTCTACAACTACGGTCTGGTTTGGCCCATAACGTAAAATCTTGACATCCCTCTTCATCATTTGCAGTGTTTCTTTTGCAGGCAGGGCAATTTTTAGCTTGGCATCGGTGACGGGCACTGTCTTCGCTATTGTAGCCTTTGCAACACTTTTTGCAGAAATAGCCTCGATTCATAAAACCAGGAATGGAATAGAGACCATCGTAATGTGCTTTTTTCTGGTTCTGTTCATCCACGTACACTGATTTGACGATAGCAATAATTTTGTTTTCGTCTTCATACTTCTCTCCTTTGAAAATCACACCGCCGCGTGTAGCGTCGACTACAATGATTCGAAATCCTTGTGGACCTAGGTACTCTTGGAATTGATTTACTTCGTCTAAACCACAAAGACCTTCTTGCACCTTTGCTTCGTGATGAAGTTTTTTAGCTTCTTTCATTTGCTGGGTATTCGTCCCGCGATCTTGACAAATATTTTTAAACGTGTTCGTTTCACCCGCTTGGCGTTTCGCATACTCTCTCATGACCACAATGGCACGAGCGCAATAGAGAGTATCCTTGTTCTTTATTTCACAAACGCACTTGGATTCTTTAGCCATTTTCTCCCATATTTTCTGACCTGGACTTGCACCTGCTCTTTTTCCACCTTTTCGTTCTGGCTGGCTGAATAAGACCGAGGCAGAAAATCCAACATCATTCGTAATGAACTCACCGCTGTTTAAGACCAGTGAAAGTTTTTGCAATACTCCTTGTGTCATGGCGGCTCGCTTCGTAAAATCGCCTACGTCTACTCGCCACGTTTCTCCTGTTAAGCCATCCCTGCGATGTTCTTTACTTCCAATTTGTAAAGTCATCCAATAATCATTGGGTATTTTGAGTTCCTCGATCAACTTATCTGTGGCATCTGCAATAGCGTAAGTGGCTTCAATATTCAAATCTTCGGACTCTTTAGCAGAACGCTGTTGATCTAAGGTCATCATGAATTTTTGGTTCACAACTGCATTTTGCTTCGATCGTTTGGCTGGTCCTAATTTTGTGGCATTCGCCACAAACAATGGCTTTTCACCATGAACATCAACCTCAATAGAATTCTCTGGTTTTGCAACCTTCACATCAGGTTTTGGTAATTTAACCTGTAACTTGGCTTCTTCTTGATCCACTACACGCTTGGTTCAACGAGTGCTCACTGCGCCACCAAGTTGTTCATCGAAATCCAATCTTGGTACCTTTCCAGAATTCAATAATTGTAACTTTAACAATTCATCGCTTTCTTCTGCTCTTCTTTTAGCAGTTTGGGAGTGACACTTCTTCACATGAGCCACCATTTTATCTTTACGACAAAAAGTCTTGTCACAGTGTAAACAAGGTACTTTAACATTAGTACCGCAATACTTTTTGTGACGGAAGAAACTTCCTCTATTCTTAATTTTGGTCGCACAGATGGGACAAGGTCGTGGGTAAGTAATTGCCATGATGAGAGGTCTGCACAGTACAACGAATTGTAATCAAATGACCTGTATGAGTTGCTATCCCGCTTTTATATCCCCCACTAGCCCTGTGTTCTAAAAATAGAAACAAATTCTGCTGAGTCATCAAAATGTATGTGACGTCAATGGGCTTGCTCAAACATGCCCGTAATCGCTCAACCGTGACCTGGTGAAACTTAGCATACAAGTCACTCACTTAGTTAGGGTTAGGACATTCACTCTCTTTGTTAGGATTAGGACATTCGCTTTCTTTGTTAGGGTTAAGATTTAAGAGTTAGGGTAATATTTAATCCTAAACAACGCATCCAGCTGATTTAGCTCTAAACACTGCACCCGACTGATTTAACCCTAAACACTGCGCCCAACTGATTTAGGGTTAGGGTTTAGACTCGACTGATTTAGGGTTAGGGTTTAGACTCGACAGATTTAGGGTTAAGGTTTAGACTCGACTGATTTAGGGTTAAACTTTAGACTCGACTGATTTAGGGTTAAACTTAAGACTCGACTGATTTAGGGTTAAACTTTAGACTCGACTGATTTAACCCTTGACATGAAAGTAAACAATAGCTTAGGTTAGGACATTTAGTTATGTTTTGGAAACTCACTCGATAGAATTAACTCTTGACATTAACCTTCGACAATGCAAAATTGATTACAGAACAAAAACCAGATTGACTTGACTTGACTGACTTGCTGGTGATACTTGGTTTTCCAGTATCCCCGATTTCCCCCGTAGTCCCCCGAAATTTGTGACTGACTAGACCCCCTTGACTACTTTTATGCTGGACCGTAAGGTATGTGGCATAAAAACGCCATTTACTAGAAACCTATACCACAAATCGACCTTACAAATTATTAGGCAATGATCAATAGGTCATGTTCTACCAAAATCCGGTATCAAACCTTTTCTGACCCGTGGGTTGAACGAATTCGAAAGAACAATTTTCCTACCTCGGCTACTGGACTAAACGGCCTGCTACATTTGGTCGTTCACATTTTTTGCTTTGAATAAAGAAAACTGTGGCTGTTTTCACATGGGCCATATTAGGGCTTGCGCAGTACTCCTGTGTCCAGTGGTAAATTAGGGTTGGACCCATATCCAAAAATGTTAGTCTTAGGGTTAGTTGTAATTTGACGAAGTGTCATGCTTTTATCTTAAAAGTGAGCAATTTTGGTCGGTAACAGCTGGGCTATAAAGCGTTTTCGAGTGGTGTCAGGTTAGACAAATTAGAAACCATATCGGAATCAGTACCAAGTCAATCGCGTGCCAAGAAACAAACACAGCTGCCTTGAGTTAAAACGCTCTATATTGGCTGCTGGAACGACATGTTCAAAAGAATCGCAGAAACAAAGGCTATTCAATCTGAATACAAGTTTATAGCATTCAATCAAAGAAAAATGTAGCCTTCTATCAGTCAACTGCGATCACCGTAACATTTCGCAGAGATCTTCGTATGACATCTCTCCCCTTCGCTCAACTAAGGCCAATCGAGAAGTTCTTCTCAGAACTTACTCTAAGAGAACAATATTCTTAACTAGGTAAGGGCACCATACAGGGAAAGCGTACTCGAGGATTGGTCTCTCAAGAGCCTTGTACAGTGTGGAAAAGATTTCCTTGTTTACAGAGCCGATTGTTCGCTTGATTAGACCAAGAACTTTATTGGCGTTATTGACAACCTCAACAACGTGTACAGTCAACGAGAGATCTCTCTGTAAACCTTGGTATCATCTGCATACAGTTTAACCGTTGATGAAATACCTGATATGTCATTTACCTATAAAATGAGTAAGACGGGTCCGAGGATTGTTCCCTGGGGTAGGGTGTAACCTGTGGCACCCTTTCTGACAGCCCCTTACGGATCACCTTACCTTTCAAGGATCAGAAATCTGCTGACCAGGTCCGCAGACCGTCAGTTCTCCGACCTTGGACTGAAAATCGATTATGAATTGCAGCCAGTTTTCACTGGCAAAAAGATCATTGACGACTTATGCGTGACGGAATTAAAACCACCCCTTGTAAACAGCTAGTATGTTGTATATGAAGTTCAATGTGATTTGTGTGACGCAAATTATGTAGGATACACGTGCCGTCACCTTCATCAACGTGTAGAACACAAACATTGGATAGTTGGCAAGCATTTCATTAGGAAACATGGTGAAAAACGGGTAAACCTTGGCGAAAACTTAAAAATCGTCATGAGAAATGCAGAGGGAAACTAGAGCGTTTGATATACGAGATGTTGATTATAAGAGATAAAAGACCTACGCTAAACACTCAAGCGGATTCCATTTGTGCTAAACTCTTATTAATTGAATTGTAATTTGTCTATTTTCACGCTTAAATTTACATGCAATTTTGCACTTTGCTTTCCTGTAAACATTTCCACGAACCACGTTATTTTCTTATCGTTTGATAATGATGACATAAAGCCATTGAAACGTCAAGTTTCTTTTATATCGTTCGTTTTTGTTTTAAATGTATCTCCAAATCGATTCTTATAAGATACCTAGTCAGTCAGAATAGACCTATTCGGCTAACTCAATGTTGTACCCAATTCAAATTTCCCGGGGTTAAGATTCTGTGTGTATTGTATTTGCATTATAATGTG